TATATATATATATATATATATATTAATATATATAAATTTATATATATTTAGATATATATAGTATAAATATAACCTATTATGTGATATTTGGTGGATGAATACGGCTCATTGATACAATTTGTTTCGTCTAAAACTGTTGACTTATAGATGTGCTATTTATTTCTATATCATATGAGCTAATTAATTGTGAATATAACAATTTATTATTATCGTATATATTGATCTGAGTTTTAATTTATGTGATGCGAACAATTTCACCAACCGTGAATCCTCCAATGCCGGTCTATGCTACTTCTGTTTAGTCTTACATCATGACAATCTTCACAGAAAAATCCTACAATTTGCTATGTCTGGATGATCTCAAGGGACTCTGTAAAGCGAGAAACCTTGTCGTTAGTGGATCGAAGAATGTCTTGGTGCAGCGACTTGTGCTTGCTTCCACCAGGAGCGCTGAGCAGGCTGCTACATCCGATGCCGTAGAGCAGTATGTGGCAGATGTGTAATTCGTATATCAAATGGAAGCTGAACGATGATCGGATGGTGTTGTTCGCACCGTCAGTGTTCCTTTGTGCTCCTTGTCTGTCTGCGCGCGAATGATGTCGCTTGTTTGCATGTAGTTCTGAGCAGGTGTATGATTGAATCGAAGAGAAAGTTCCGCGAAATTCCTTGGATGTACTGAAAGCAGATTACTGCTTTACAAATTCTACGATGGATGTGAATAGAGAAATACACATGATACATGGATCAACTGTACTACAGTGTTAAATGATAGTTGCAAGAATGATCATTTATATTTTCATTACCGCAATTCTTATATTCAAAGAAGCGATCAGCGTGCTGCATATACTGCTATGAGCTAGACGACTTGAAGGATTTATGCCGTGTCAAGGGCCTGTCCATCACTGGCAAGAAGGGCGAGCTGGTCGGTCGCTTGCTGTCCACAGGGTATGCGTGTGCCCGGGTTGGATTGTTCTGTGTCAAAATTGAGAATTATTGCCGTATGAATAAACGAGGCTTACGCCCTCGTCGTGATCCTATGTTACTGGCAATCATGTCATTTCTGAATATTGTCAATGTCACATGTGAGGTCTTTAGATACTCAATAGTCCCTATTACACTTTTTTCATACTCGGTATCTATGGTGCAGTGCAAAGTGTTACACTTCGTACGTCAAGTCATTCTCATAGCTGTCCTTGAACTCAGTGGGAACGCAGCGAACTTGCATAGAGTATTTGAGTCCGATTTCTTCGCCCGCATTAAATATTCAAATTCACGGATTGTAAAACGCAGGGACAGTAGCGCGAATACAAGTGGTGCCGTCATCTACAACATTTCCATCGGCGGAAGCCACACCCAAGTAGCCACACACGCCGCGAAGGCGCCATCGACCACCAAATCCACACCCGTGTACGAGGCTATGAATCTTGACCAACTCAGGCAGGCATGCAGAGAAAAGGGGTTGCAGGTAGGAGGCCGTAAGGACCAGCTACTCGCACGACTACACGCGGGACAGAATGTACCGGCGGGTCCGTCAACGGCGACTAATAAGCGTGATGCGGCTGGAGATTTTTCGAGGGTAGGGCCTGCGAAGAAAATCAGGACCGATTCTGTTGAGAGTGCCGGCGGGGTTGCACGCGGTGCTTCGGGTGTAAGTGGCTATCAAGGCAACGGGATGGACAGGTACTCACTCATAGAATCGCCACATAAACATTCACCGATTGACAGGCGAGCCTACGGTAGTAATAGTGCGACTGATTGGCGAGACGAATCGCGTGCCGCTTACTGACGCTCGGCATACACCGACGTCAGACATGAGTCATCAAGCAGGTACGGAGCACCGGACAGTGGTAGATACGCGCAGGAACGATCAGCGTCCCCCCTCGACGCTACGATCGCAGAGACACCCGGTCCCCTGAACCCGTGCGGTACGAAACCAAGGCTAAACGCGAGTATATGCGGAAGGATGAGTACAAGTCAAAGCCCAAGCAAGAGTACGCTCGCAGAGAGGAGTATCAGCCCAAGAAAGAGTACAGGCCTAAGAAGGAGTACAAGCCTAAGGCTGAGTATGCACGCGATTCGTTTGCATCTGAGTCACCTGCCAAGCCGAGCTTCGTGTTCTTAGATAATGTCGATGGCGACTATGACACAATTCAGGTGAGCGGAGATAAATTCACCATCAAAGATCAACTGAGGCAAAAGTTCCACGCGCTATGGGACAAGGCAAAACGTGCATGGAACGTTTCTCGCTAGGATAAGCACCGGGTGATTTCGTTTGTGCTGGATGAGGGAAAGCTGTATCGAGATCGCACGCGCTAGAGCGAGTGTAACACTCTTTGATCGGCGCACATATGCGGTACGCGTATAATTGTTCTACTAGAAATGTGTATCTGCTGTGATCACAACCGGAGCTGCATGCTTGATAGTGTTATCAGTACGAATTAGAAAAGTGATTTCAAGGGCGATCAATATCGGGTACTATTGGGAAGGACATTGTATTGAATTGCCGTGTCGTTTAAATTGAGGATTGGACATTAGCATGCAAGTCGTGACGGTAGCACATAAACGTACGTACACACACACCTATCTACATAATGCGTACGTATGTGTTTGTGTATGTGATATTTTGTGTGTAGGTTAAAAGATTGCTATGTATAAGTAGGTTGGCCTTGAACATCTGGATACCCCCAATGATTATGACTGGTAAATAAATATTCTGCTTTAGTACGATCATCAGCAAGCGCACAATATGGCTCGAATTTACTGCAAAACAATATCTAAATGACTCGAGGCCAGGCGTACATAACATGCAACAATGTACAACCATAAATTTCTAGGGTCTTCTTCGAGCGTAAAGTAAGAGAAAATTCACCTGTACTATTGAACGTCATATAAATTTCGTCACTTAAGGACACACGCGGAAGCATTGCGGAAAGGTGAGGTGTTATGCTTGTCATGTTCTCATATCGGTTACACATTTACATATGGATTTCGAGATCAATTGTTCTTCTCGGATTCGCATATAAGCGTGATTGCCGATTTAAAAGGAACAAACGACGGCCGGCAGTGCGTTTAGCCATATTGAATTGTTCTCGAGAGGGTCATGTACAATCCAAATCAAATGCGAATTTACACATACGAAGATACACATGAATATAAACATACAAATGCTAGATGTAAATATGAATCGGATACATGCGCTATTGATAGATTCTTGCCCAGTCGGGTTGCAGGGGTCGAGTTTTTGATTCTGCTGCGAGACCTGCAGAAAGATACATTTGAATATAAATGTGAGTATCTTTTTACATACCTGAACAGAAATTTAAAAATATGACATATGCAAAGACAAG